TAAAGAATAGAATACTATATTATATAATAACTCCAGTGAAACACGCAATTTGATTGGTCAATAGCCGTGCAGGATCAGACAATCCTGCACGGGAAATTCTGTAGAGAAATTATTGCATATAATTTTACAAATATAATCGCATTGTAAAGACTAAAGTTTCATTGTACGATACCTTTCGACTTTGAAGTAAGTTTCCAATTATTGAGACGTTGGTTTAGTTGTATGAATAAATTTCTGATCGATACATTGCTATTCAGCAAGTAGCAACGTGTAAGTGTTGAAATTCATCAGACCATGGCATGCATGCAAGTACAACATCTCTCGCTTCAAAGTTGATCAAACGCTTCGCAATCTTCACCTATTCAGGTCGAGAATCTTTAAAACTACTTTGGCTCTCTGTTCAGCGGGTTTTCCATTTCAAATTTCGTATATTTTATCGAAAAAGTCCCTGTATATTCGCTGCATATTTTCGCGAATTTGCGATCAAATTCTGTTCACATATGTTGTTGTTTTCAATAGCGTGGAGTAGCGATTCTCTGATTGGTTAATTCGATCACGAATGTTATGAGAACTGCACATTTCACCAGTAATTACTCGTTGGGGCACTCTGTGCCCCGGGCGAGTATAGGTTTCGGCTTGCATTTTTCTTGGATAGTGGATCGTCGATAGCCACAAAATAGAATATTAATGAGCTGCCTAATTTTCCCCCAATTATCCATAAGGCTCCTGCCATTTTTACCCAAATTATCCATAAATAACCCTGCATTTTGAGGAAAATTCGGGAAAATTGAACAATTTTACAAGGAATTTCGCACGGAAACAGCAACCTTCGCAAAGCGCAAGTTTAAATATACGTTTGGCTGCGCTGCTTTTATATATTTTGAGAAGAAAGCGACACCGTTCGATTCAGCGTAAGAAATTGTACTCACGGATGTCAAATGTATTACTAAACAGCAGTATTCTAGCGATTTATGGCCTTTGAAAATCAAGCGAAATTGGTCAAATTGTATTGTTGATAAATCGCTCGCAGTACGTATGTCCTTGTATTTGTAATGCCTCATGGCGCAATAACGATAAAAATATCACCGTTCGATTCAGGGTAAGAAATTGTACTAATTACGGATGTCAAATTATTACTAAACAATAGTATTCTAGCGATTTATGGCCTTTGTATTTGAAAGACAAGCGAAATTGTATTGTTATTGTTAACAATACAATTTCGCTTGTCTTTGTATGGCCTTTGTCTTTGAAAGACAAGCGAAATTGTATTGTTATTGTTAACAATACAATTTCGCTTGTCTTTGTATGGCCTTTGTCTTTGAAAGACAAGCGAAATTGTATTGTTATTGTTACAGTAACAATACAATTTCGCTTGTCTTTTAAAGACAAAGTGTCAAAGTCCATAAATCGCTAGAATACTATTGTTTAGTAATAATTTGACATCCGTATAAATTAGTACAATTTCTTACCCTGAATCGAAGTCGAACGGTGATATTTTTATCGCTCATACGGATGTCATACAACAGTATTCTGGCGATTTATGGTTTTGTCTTTGAAAGCCAAGCGAAATTGTATTGTTAACAAATCGCTCATACGGATGTCAAATGTATTACTAAACAACAGTATTCTAGCGATTTATGGCTTTGTCTTTGAAAGCCAAGCGAAATTGTATTGTTGATAACTTTGGTATCATTGGTTTTCTCTTTTTCGGCCGTATACCAGTGGATTCGTCTTACTTCTCTCTTCATTTTGCTATTTTGAGCCGAAAGCCCCCAAATATTTTATTTTGAACGTTTTAAAGCGCAGTTTATTCCTAGCGTACGGACCAACTGGCGGCTGACAGTCTTAATTGAAGATTGTAGCGTACTAAATATAACTTTACTTGTATTTGTAGGGCCTACCGCATTTTAGTACTGTGTTAAGCCTTTTCCGCTTGTACTCGACTTTTCCGCTTAGTAATGTGCGTATTTGTATGAGTTGTATAGCCCCAGCGAGTTAACGCTCCACAGAGCGTCTTGTTTTAATCAAGTCAAGCGTCGTTTCACTGTAGTAATTTTATTAGGCCCGGTTTAGACGGCGAACTTCTCATGAGCCGAATCTAATTGTTGTAGATACGGCAAAATATCGGAAACTGTTTTAGACGTCGAACTTAATTGCACCGTACCAAATTGCCAAGACATTATATTGGAAATATTTACAATGCAAATATATGATAATCGTATTATGATGTTAAAAAATAATTATGCATTAGGTTCGGCGCATGAAAAGCACGGCGTCTAAATCAATGTCGAACCTGTGTCGCATATACGACTTGTCCTGTCGCATCTTCGAGTCGTGTCGAACTTAATCAAAACTTGCCGAACTTAATTGATTTAGACGCCGCTCCAACGTCACACTTAATCCTTGCATTAGATTCGGCGCATGAAAAGTTCGCCGTCTAAACTGGGCCTAAAACAATTACCAAATGGTTTTCCCGTGCAGGATAGCATGATCCATGCACTTGGGATGTTGCTCGCCTTTCGGAAAGCGTAAAAATACACTCGCCTACGGCTCGTGCATTTTTAGGCTTTCCGAAAGTCTCGCAACATCCCTCGTGCATGGATCACGCAATCCTGCACGGAAAACCATTCGGTATTCCTTTAATGAGGATGGACTAGTTATATAAAGAACTGTGAATGAAGATTTTTACTGAGAATGGAGTTTTATCAGGTATCAAGCCACTTCACGTGACATATTATTGTTCACATGCATGATTTGCCAAAAAGCATATGTTTTAAATACCGACAATGAGTTTCTCTCTCGCGCGCGACCTAGCTCGTAAATATAAATCCTTAGATATACGCAAAAAAACAAAAACTGATAAACGGCTTACAAGACGTTACAACCCGCGTAACTATATATGCAGCGTCGGAACTGTCAATTCATTCACAAGCCATTTGTGATCGATCTTGTTGGGTCTGCAAAAATGCGGTGCTATAATTAAACTACAGACTATATGTTTATTTATATTGGATCACTCTATCAGTGTTCTCCCATGCAGACTTGGTCCAGTACGTAAGGGTCGTCGCTTAACTGACTTTTTCGTGTTACAACAGGAGGGCACCTTACTGAACTATATAGCTTGAAATTGCAGTTAATACCGATGTTGATGCTGGATATCATATAGATAGCTAGCTCGATTTTTCAGTGCTAAACTGCTGTTCTCACCGATAGTGGATTCAGGTGTAATACGACATCAGAAAAAAACAATCAAATTTATAACTATTATAATACTGGATATCAGTTCTAAACTGTTTTACTTGGACATCGACTGTGTTTGGTTGAGTGAAGAACTCTCAAAGAGCTCTCATTTATGTCAGAGGTACAGAAAGGTAGGCCAATGTCACTAAAAGGCACAAATCATACACTCCACTCGGTCTATTTCAAGTAGATTTTAGCACTTCAATTTCGTGAACATTCCATTTCGTAATTATAGTCAATTTCGCCGTTAAAAGCCTTGTTTGCATGATTGCACGAGGGAAATATAATTGTTTGGTATTTGCGAAAACATCACGTTTATTTTGTATTACTATAGCTTTCGGTCCGTAAGCCTGCACGGATCTTCACCAGTGTATTAAATTATTATATTTCAGAAAAGCAATTAAATTATTATAGCACTGATGAATACTCTTGCATGGAATGTAAGTTTCCATGCCTATACGTATATCAACACAACACAACACAACACAACACAACACAAAAAAAAAAACAAAAAAAAACAAAAAAAAACAAAAAAAAAACAAAAAAAAAACAAAACAAACAATTATATTTATACTTATTTTTACCATGCACAGTGGTATATCTTTAAAAAATCAAATTCAATGCAATTAGGGACCGGTCGTTATTTATGGCGGGGGGTGGCACCGAAGAGAAAATGGTTGGGTAAACAAAATTTTGAGTAAGTAGAAGGTTGGGTAAATGAAAAACAAAACAACTCAAGGGTTGGGTAATAAAAAGTTATAGCCATATGTCAATAAAATATGTGAATCAATCATAGTCATTGTCTTGATCATTTTCCGATTTGTTAGGAGACAAGTGGTATCTCCAAAGAAAGTACATGACTGTGCAGACAACATGAAACTTTCAACTGCAGAAAATTTCACAATCCGTTATCAAACTCATGTCACAGAAATGGTAAAGGATATATGTGACAACTGAATGGTAACCTTTTGTAAAGTTTTTGGCCAGGGGTGGGTATTTATTTTTTATTTGATATTTGAGGTTGGGAACAAGGGCGAATTTCGTTTTTGACCAATCAGAGCATTTGTTTACCTTTTGGCGCTAAGCCAATCAGAACGCGTACATTGTTACTACTTTCGGTTTAGACGCGTATTTCAACACGAAAATTACGGTTGTAAATAAAGCCTTGGGGGGGGGGGGGTCTGGTTTTTTAATTTTTTCGACTTATTTCAATGAAATCCTATAAAATATAACATTTTCGAAAAATTTGCCGCTGGGATTTGCGTCTCATCGCTTAGTTTTGAAATTATCCGCATTCAAAAAACGGCGTATGCAAGGTCACTCTCGCCGTAGGTCAAAAACCTGTTATGATTCTAAAGGAAGTGAAGCAAAAGCATATATCCGGAAATATTTAAGAGTGGCTCGAGGCATTTGAGAAAGAAGGCATTTTCATTGCGATTTTGGAGTAAACGGTCACTACACGACTATAATTTTGCCAGCAGTGGCCATATAGCACTGAAGCAAAGTAGAAGAATCGCCGTTTATGACTGCCTCGTTGGCCCAAGCTTTCTGGTTTTGACTTGAGAGGATATTTGCAAATGGGCTGTTAAGATATTGCGATCGCCGGTGTTGAGAGGGGAGTGGGACGGAGGAAGTGAAACGGCGCGGAAGCTTCGCGGAATTGGAAAGAAAGAAACTAAAAAAGCGAACTTGTTATGTTAAATACAGTGAACAAAAAACTTAAAAATAATAACTTAGGAAAAGGCAAGGATACTCAGATTATGCCTCACGAATTGTAAGTCAGTCTTGCTGCAACCTTCAATTGTCAGTATATCTGAGTTGTTGTAATAGCTGTAATTTTGCTTGATTTATATAGTTGACTATTTACAAAATAAAGTATTAGTGCAGAAAGAGAAAACAGATTTGGGTATTTCAATGTGATTTGCTTCAAACAAAGTAGCGTCTCCCCGGTTGGCGTAGATGCGAAACAGTCAAAATTCTACAGACCGAAGGAATCACAAGCCATTCGACTGAGGAAGAGATTATTTATATTTAAAGTTTATAATAATACGAGTCATTCAACGATTGTTTCAAGGACAACCGATAGCCAAAACGAGCGACAGACCGTCCTTGAAGATAATTCGTTCATCACAAATATCACTGAAAGGTAAATCAAAGCTTTTATTATTACTGAGCATTTTGTTCGTCGAATTAACGTTAGTTTGAGCAAAAACGCGGGCGTTCGGGGCGCCATTGCTAAAGAACATTTTTATACGGACACGACACTGCTAAACCGGATATAGACTATCATAAAAAAAAATAAAAAATAAATAACCATCGCTCAGGATGCCACCTAAAATAAACTTCAAAACGCTCTTAGGGAAGCGAGACAATGCTATACATGCTTTAAAAGAATTGTTTGAAGAGTTTGAGACGGTGTTTGAAATTCAGCCACAATTAAAAAGGCTAGAACAAATATTTACAATACTCGAAACCAAATACAGAAGTATCAAGGAGCAGCAAGAATTCATCGCAGACAAATATGTAGAGGGGGGTGTAGAAGAAACGTTGAAGGAAGCTCACAAAAAAATAGGTGACGCTGTAAAGGAAGAATATTTGAAGATATCTAAAAAGTTTGCTGCCTACCAAAAAGAAGTAAGCTCCAAGAAACCTCAAGAAGAGACAGAAACCTTAAAGGCAATGACATCCGCAGTTTTAAAATGACGGAGACCATGTCCACGGGATCAAAACCTAGTAAGAGTGGAGTTGAACGTTTGCCAGTTACATCATGGGATGGCAGCCGTAGAATGTACCCTACCTGGAGGAAGGAGTTTAATCACTGGATGAAAAAGCATGCACAAGATGAAGATGAACAATTGCAACGTTTCAGGAAGGCGTTGCCAAGCCATTTGTGGTGGACAGATCAAGTAAAGACCTGCAAAACCATCGACCAAGCTTGGAAAATCTTAGATATTGAATTTTCAGACAAACGAAAGCTAATGGATGAACTCTTGGCAGGAATTTCCAAGCACGACCAGGTCAAAAGGGACTCCAAGTCATTAATTCGGTATGCTACCACAATATCGAGCTATGTGAATGACATGGAAGCCAACGATTGCATGGTTACATCTTCAGAGGCACCATTCTTCATGTCACAACTGTTGTCCAAGCTCACCCCAAGTGATAACGCTGAGTTCGGGAGAGAAATGAAGAGGAACAAGAAGGAAGAAAGTGTACTCGGTCTTGTCGAATGGCTGTACGAAGAAGCAGCTCTTCGTTCCAGGGGCAAGCTTGAATATGATAACGAGAGTGCAGAACAAAGTCGACGTGTGGGACCCTTCAGAAAGGTAGACACCCGTAACCTAGCTACTAAAATTCCTGAAGATGCAACCTGCCCCTTCGATTGCCCAGAAGAACATCTTCTTGCTGCCTGTCCAATTTACAAGAAGCTAACGGTAAACCAACGTTGGGACATTGTTCAGCAAAATAAGAGATGTCGCAAGTGCTTGAGAGCATCGCACCATACAAGAGATTGTAAGAAGCCAGATGGCACCTCCTGCGACAAGTGCAAAAAGAACCACCACAAGTCTTTGCACAATGAAAGAAACAGTGTCCCACCTTTGGATCCAAGTGCAGTACCATTTTCCGTACAGGAACGAGCTATCTCTCAGAACCATAACATTGAAAGGATCAAGCATGGGATCGGTCTCTGCCCCATTCAGAAAGTAAAAGTGAAGGATGCCGATGGAAATTTCATGGAAATGCTAGCATTGCTAGACACTGGATAAAATACCAGCCTACTCTCAAAGAAAGCGGCTATGAAACTGGGATTAACTGGATCTCAAATTCACCTCACCATGAATCTCGCTGGAGGGGAAAAACTTTCAGAAGATTCTGAAATTCTAGAAATCGCCGTAGTCTCATGTACCGAGGAAGATATCGAGAAAACTGTCCAAGTGTATACGGTTAAAAAACCATGTAACAGCGCTAAGACAGTGTCGAAAAACAGCCTAGAAAGTTACCCCCACCTGAAGTCCATCTCCGAAAAGCTACATCTTTCCGGTGGTGCTGTAGCTATAGATCTCCTCATCGGGACTGATCTTGCTGAAGCCTTCGTCGATGTTCACACAATCTCTGGTCGATGTGGGGAACCCATTGCCAAGAGAAACTGCTTTGGATGGTACATTATTGGCCAACTAGACCCAAAGATACCGGATGGTGCAAAAATACAGTCAGTTGATGTCAGTCACGCGAGTGTCATGGAGAATGTCAATCAACTTCTTCAACAAGATCAGATAGGAATCAAACCTACACGTTTCTGCACATGTAGTGAAAGTGAATTGCGAGAAAGTAAATTTGTGAAGTCTGTCTCTCAATCAACGACTCTGGTTGATGGAAGGATTCAGGTAAAGATGCCGTGGAATGGAAAGGGACCTCCGAAGCAAAGTAACTACGACATCGCTGTAAAGAGAATGCAGTCAGCCGAAAGGTCATTCGAAAAGAAGGGTTGCATTGATGTTGTCGACGAAGAAGTAAAAAAGTTAGTGGATCAAGCGTTTGTCATCAAGGTTCCTCCCGAACATGTCAACCACACCCAAGCAGAATGGTATTTGCCACTGCAAGCCGTCTTCACCCCAGAGAAGACAACCAAAGTGCGGCTTGTCTTTGACTCATCATGCAAAGGACAC